GTCCTTCCTAAACTGTGGAGCCCAGAACTGTGGAGCCCAGAATTGGACGCAGTACTCTAGCTGCGGCCTCACCAAGTCCGATTACAGCGGGCAGATGACATCCTGAGTCTCGCTCAAGATGCGTCCGTAGACGCAAGCCGGAGTTCTGTTTGCTTTGCCAGCTGCAGTATCATATTGGTGGCTCACGTTCATCTCGTGGTCAATCTCGACCCCCAAGTCTCCTTTGGTCATGGTGCTAGAGAGTATAGCACTCCCAAACCTATAAGTGTGATGCGGTTCACCCCCCCATCCCATTCCTCCCCTTTCCAGGTGGAAAACGAAATGCACCTTGCATTTCTCCATGTTTTTAAAAACGGAAAAATCAATTATAATTTCAATTTTAAAAAAGTTAAAAACTCCGATTTTTTTTAATTAAAAAATTTCAATTTTATCCGTTCTGGTGCTCAAGTCTCACCCAGCATAAAGACCTCAGGATGCTTAGTGAAGATCAGTTATTCACTTTTTTGCACTGATGTTTTTCTAATCGTTCATTATATGGCTCCCTGATACTTTCACTACACAACAGCCCGTCTGCCAAATGCACCAGGGATCCTTATGCAATCATGTAAGGACTACTGTAATGCATATGCTTTATGAAACAAATAAACCCTGTTTCCTTATATATGTACTCACAGATGACATTCCCATGCAAACACACTCTCTTACAGACAAACATATAACAAACAGAAGGTTGGCATATCACTAGTAAAAACTTAGAACACAACAGCCAGAAAAATCTCGATGGCATGCCCAGTTCCTGCAATCACGTTACTAGATTGTGCCTAAGACTTTAAATATCTCTGAAACTCGGGAAGTCAGACAGAGACAGACAGACCAGACAAACAGATTAGAGAGTTTTCAAAATATTACCAAAAGGCTTGTTTATATTCCTACCAAAGTTCTAACCGTTTTCTCTCAATTTCAGAAAAAGCTGAGGTTTTCACATAAGCTTTCAGCCAAATGAATGAAAGTCTGACAAGATTATAAAACAACAACTGGAAAAAATCCTTATGAATGTAAATATTTCAACAGCCTTAACTATAAGAGTCATTAAACAGCCCCTAGGGTTGTTGGTTGTAGCCGTGTTGGTCTAAGGACACAGACAGAAAGACGGACAAGGTTCCTTGGGTAGATGGGATACCTTTTATTAGACCAATGAAATGGTTGGAAATATTGTTCTTTGCAAGCTTTCAGGCACAAACACAGTTCTTCAGGCAATAGGGAGAGTCTGTTGGATTCTCCCTATTGCCTAAGGAGCAGTGTTTGTGCAGAGACAAAGTGCAAGCATACACATGTCCATGTCCATTGTCCTGGGATAAATCCTACAAGTTTCCCAGGTAAGAGCTAGGAACAGTTTATCCTGGGATAATGCAAAATTACGTCTGTGCAGTTATTTTAGGAACTGCATCACTGAATTGATGGCAAAAAAGCAGCACTCGTTCCAGGGTGGATTTTATTTAAATCAAATAGATTCAAATTAGGATTTAAATCACGATTTAAAATCACTGGTCAGAAGCCTCAATTTAATCATTGTTTTCTATAAAAAGTGCAATCTTGTTGTTTGATCTCCTTTATTCATTAAACTTCTTGAAACTTTGCACTTTTAGAGAGAGGTAGGAGCTTGACAAACTTGCAGAGAGACAAGAGGGCTGATGGGTAGGTAATCAGGCCTGTTATTTCTCATCTTCATATAGTGTTAATAAGGATGTTTATCTCTGGAGAGACAAATCCAGTTTGAGAACTGAAACGAAACATCAGAGATCCTTAATGGGACCTCCCAGACCAGGGGTTCCCTGGGCCCGGCAAACCGAGGCCCAGCAGTCACAGCTGACCAGGGGGCAAACCCTGCGCCGCCGTGGGCCCTGCAGAAGGAGCCGCAGCCTATCCGTCCGGCCCTGGGGGGGCCGCTGTTTGCTGGTCTGCGGCCACTTCCAGGCCGGCAGCCAACTCCCCACAGCCCGGCACAGGGCCGCAGCCTGGTGATTGAGAACCCCTGTTCTAAACTGAGGACAGTAACATTGGGTAGAGTGGTTTTCTTTAATATTAAACTTTATTAATGTATAGAGAAGCCTCTGGGAACCCCGTAAGATTGGGCCCCTAATATAATCCATGGCAGGTTGCGACTTATTTATGAATACTTTTCTAAAAAAGTTACATGAATATATTGTCTCAAGTAGTATACAATTAGAAGCTATAATCCCTATTCCGCGATGATACCTTTGAGCTTTAACATATCTTAAATTAACCTTTTTTTATAGCTTTTTTTAAAAAGCAACTTTAAAAAATAAATAAAATATTTTAAAAAATTTAAAAGCGATTTTTTTTGTGTCACTGATTTTTATCCACCTGCCACTCATTAAATCCTGATTAGAAGGGCAATGTGTGTACATGCCAATCCCAGGATAGTTTTGTTCCAGAACAAGCCAAAGGCACAACTTATCTAGGAACAAAAAGCATCATCTGTTCCTAGCCTGTGGTGAATGGCACATTGGAAATTCTTCCCAGAGACTGACATAACCCAGTAGGACTACAATAGTATTCTCCCCGCTTGAGAAAGCAGATTAAATCGGTTAGCCTCAAAGGTAAACCCCATGTTCTTTCACTATTGTTGTTTGAGTAACCTAACACAATTGAACAAAACAGCTGTTCAGCCCTCCAAAATGAGGACCATAACATTATTAAATCCAAGCACCTCCACTGGGAGGCCCATCCACAGCAAACTGAAGGTACGCTTCCTTCCTCCTTGAATCTGCTATTGAAAACATCAATCCTCGGTCAGCTCACATAAGTGAGCAAGCTGGCAAAGCGGAAAAACCAGGAGACATGCATGCAAGTTTCCACCTGGGTTTGATGCCCTAATGAGGCCTCCCCATCCAAATGATCTTTTTGTTTTGTTTTTTAGTGCTGGCCAACATTTTCTGAACAATTTTTATTCATATTAGTCCGTTACAGAAATTGAATTTTTTGCATAAACTTTTCAATAAACATTTCAAGTTTTCTGTATGCCGTGGCTTCAGGGATTATGGAATCACAGAACTGGACACCAAGAGATGAAAATACAGAGCATTTGAACTCAGGCACAGCCCCAAATCCCTTACTAAGTCATGATAATTTCAAACTCCTTCAGCAACGCTTACTCTCCAATCATATTTTGCAAAACCACAGCCAAGCCAGTAAAAACTACTAAAATGATTACAATCAATTAGTAATTAGGGTCATCTTTAAAAAGACAACTTGTATATTTCCTTTTTTAGCATCCCTTGGTCTCTTTTGCTCTGCCCGTTTCCAGTTGGCTGAAACACTAAATGAATCTAGTCTGTAAAACAAATCTGAATTTATATAATTTTCTTGATTGATATGTGTATTAAATGGAGAGCTTAGAAACTCTATCCCCTGTATTACATCTTTATAGATTTTTTAGTGTGAAGCTTAAGAGCACTGGTCTACTGCACTTTTGAACTTGCCTCTAAATGACTGTAGTTTCTGAAGGCATGAGCTATGTTGTCAATTACATCTGCAAACCAATCTAGGAATGATTATTTTCAAAAATTTCACAGACACCTTAAACATTTCCTGAAGAACTGTGCATTCTGCAAAAATTACTTGTTTCATTTTTTTTTGTTATCAGCTTCAATTGCTCAGGTCAGTGATTTTTTTTTTTTTTTTTTAAATCAACCAGAAAGGTGTCAAATGACATCAGAAAACAAGGCCAAAATCAGATTACTACAAAAAATAAGTTGTTAAAAATGCTAGCCAATTTCTGAAGTAATACGAAAGTTGTTTCATTTTTCAGTCAGCTCTAGACCGTTTATATTTTATGGCAGACAAAGCCTAAACCCAGGCAGAGTCTAGAGTACAGGTTTCCCTCAATTTATTCAGGGTCTGTATATGCAAATTCATTCTTAGGCGATATGCATTTTTAGACCCCCAATTCACCATAATGCAAGGTAAATTTACAGCTGGTGTCGGCTGCTAGAGCTGCTGCAGCAGGGGCTGGGGCGAGTGGGAACAAGTGGAGAGCCAAGCGGCACGGTACGGCAGTTTGTCCACACTCACCTTAGCCCCTGCTGCAGCAGCCCTAGGAGCAGCCGGCACCAGCTGCAGAGGGAACTGTCAGTGGGTGTGTGTGTGGGGGGGGGTGCCTCTTACTGCTCTGCACCTCCTCGGAGGGCTGCAGGGCTGTGCATGCCCCCAGATCTGTGCGTGAGGTAACAGCAGGGTGTTGCTACAGGACGGGGCTGGTGGCAGCACTGGGCTGTTCCTAGCACTTGGCACAGCCCGCCTCGAATGCCAGGAACACCCAGTGCCGCTGCTGGCCCTAGCCTGCAACAACAGCCTGCTGTTGCCCCGTGCACAGATCCGGGGGCACACACCCCATGGGAAGAGCCCGGCACAGCCCCCCAGCCTGCAGCCCTCCCAGGGGGCACAGAGCAGCAAGATGGGCCCCCGCCAGCCCCGCACCCACTGACTGTTCCCTCTGCTTTGCTCCCTTGTGCAGCCTCCAGAGTGGCACCCCTCTCCCTCCCCCTTCACTAGTCCCAGCCTCACTCCCTCATTGCCATGGGAACCTATCCCTATTTGTTACACTATAAAGTGGGTTCACTTTATGCAAATTTGATTTATCCACCTTTCTCCGGGAATGCATGTACCACATAAAATCGAGGGAAACCTGTACCCCATTCACAGCCTTCTCTAAAATTTAAAATGTGACAAAAGGTTCTCTCTGGGGTTACAATTTTTAAACCTAAACAGAATGAATATATATTACAGAGCTCTGCCAAAATTCTATAAATTACAGTACATTTAATATTAAATTCAAATTAATTCCTCTATAATGCCATTTCTATCTCTCCTTCCCCACCCCTCCAAAAAAGTCTGCAGTTCTTCCAAGGTAAAAAGTTACCACAATGAGGCAACACATACCTTTTGGAACACAAATGGATGAAAGCTAATATTATTACCTGGAATATTATATTGATAGTAGTCCGGATCCTCCGATTCCTCTTTTACGGTCACTGTTGCCATTTCCAGTGAAATTCCTGCATAGGCAACACAAGTGTCTCACATGCAGACAAATGACAAAGCAATTCCAAAACAAAACTCTGACTTGTCTCTATTGTGTACAAGAAGAAAGTAACGTAAAAACGTCTGATGAGCAAGTATATAAAAAAGGGCATCCAAGGTTTCAGATACCCATTTTCTTTCACATCAAAACAAGCTCACTATTACACTATTTCTTTCTTCAAACTAGCTAGCCTTGCAAACTCAAGCTTTGATCAAATAGAGTCAAGCTGACTTCCCTTCCTCCCAATTTATAATAGCCATTAATAAAGGTTCTGCATCTCCACCCCCCAGCATTTCTAAACTAGATTTTGCTCATCGATAGTTGTACACATTAAGTTCAGAAAGAGCCTCGAGATTTCTGGAACTCAAAAATTTTGCTGAGGACAGCAACAACTTGCAGGCCTTGAACTGATCTACATTTTGCTAAACAATGCTCTCAAATGCTCATGTTTTCCAGAATGTTTTCAAAGCACCTGCAAAACAGCAGAAGAAGATCCAGCTGTTCTAGCAACATGAACAGCAAACATCAACTCTCCACACTGTCATTTTACAAAAAGACAAAACACAAAACCCCACAAACAAATATCAGATCTTTGTATGCATTAAATGAGCTGGAAGCATTTATCTGCATAGGATTTGTTCACTTACATTATCTGAGATGAAGACAATAAGGACTCAAACCCAAGTTTCAAAGCATTAAGCAAAAACTAAGCATTTGACAGGGACTGAGCCCTAAGAAATCTAGCTCAAGCCAGTGAAGCATTAAGGGTACTGGATAAGCTCGAGTGCAAATTTATAATGTTATCAGCTGCTCCATGGTATTAACTCCGTAAGAGCTCCTGGTAAATGCAAGATCTTACCCCTCACGACTGAACAGTTTTACACACATTTTTCAATCCATAAAGAGCAGGTTAGCACAATTAGGTCCTACTAGGAGATGCAGCTAGCCGTGTTAATCTGGAGTCAAGCAGAAAGCAGGGTTGATTTGCACCTTATAGACTCCTCAATCACACTTTCATTTAAATCCAGCTGTATTCTTCTAATGCAAATCATAGTAAGTGTTGCAGAAGGCAAGATAGATTTGCACCTTATAGACTAACAGGCTCACTGTTACACTACTTATTTCTTCAAGCCAGCTATAGCCTTGCAAACTCTCTGAATACAGGCTGTTCACACAGAATTTCTCACAAAGATACAAAGCAATGTTACACACCAGAATCCTCATTTGGTTCTGTTTTCACCTGGACAGAACTGCAACTAAACAAACAAATTAAAAAATAAATAAAATTAGATTTTAAAAGAAAAGGAACATACATAAGGCTTACAGAAGCTTCCTCATATGTATTTGTCTAACAATAATAATTTTATTGTACCACCTGCCAACTGGGGAAAAAAAGTAAAGATGTCATTGTGAGCTAACTGGCCAAACTTATGTGGCCTTCAAAACGCTAAGTCCCTAGCCTCACCTTTTTGGAAGATACTGGGTATCATGAGCTCACTGCTGCACTGGTTTTTAGATGCATTTAGAAACTCAAAAACTTTATTTATAATGCTGTACTGTAAAACATTAAAAAGACAGTAGAAAAAACAAGTTTGTTGCACACACTTGTGACATTATCAGTCATTTGCAACCTACACATTCCAGCAATCATTGGGCTGAGGGGAATTTCAACTTCCAGTGAATTTGTGAAGAGCTGTTAGCCATACAAGTGGCCAAGAATGGTCCGGAAATTTGACTTCATGCCATTTTTTATCCCAGACAAATAAAAGTTATTTGCAACTCAGGTGGAAAGAAAAAAAAACAAAACAAAAAACTACATGAAGAAAGGTATAAGCCATGTAAAAATATACAGCAGACACCTGTACCACATACACAGGTTCTATATGTTTTCCTTTATTAATAAATCCTAAGACATGAAAAAAGAGCCCAGAGCCACTACCTATATACATATTTTTGTTTTCAAACAGAAGAATTAAGTGGGGGAGAAAGTTTTACCTTCCACCTGCAGGTGTAACTGTATGTGCAGAATCTGTCATATGAATTCCTGAAAATAAACAGCAATCTATAAAACGTTCTTCATACACTATTTACATTATATACAAGCATAAACGTATAAAAAATGAGAGATATACTGCTTTGCGAAATAGGAGTATGATTGCATTTCACATATACCTACAGAATGGTTTCCTCTATACAGAACTGTAGAGAAAAGATTCCTCATTATTATAGTGTTTTACATATTAAAGCAACACACATACATTATTTCAAAAGTATCTGTCAATGAACATTTTATGTCATCTCTTACACAGCTGTAGTAGAAATTCTACTATCAAAGATAAGTGAATTAAGTCTGAACTTTGCCAAAAATCAAGTGGACACTTTAAAAATTTTCCCTGCCTCCCTCTCCAATACAGCAGAATGCATAAATTTTCAAAGAAGAGCTATGAAAGTGGTTACAAAGTAATTTATACATTATATAACAACAGACATCTAACATCATTTGATATGCTGAAACTCACCTTTTTTCTGAAAAAGATATTTCATTTACTCATTACTATCTGTACCATTTCTATTACAGTCAATTCACCTGAGGATAACAAGTATGCCAAGTTTCCTAACTCGGCACCAGTGGATGGTTAAGTGATCCAAGATGCAACCCTTCTGAGGATCTTGTGCAGTAGCCCTTCACAGAGGACAGAAGTAAATGTAGGGCTTTAAATAGGCTGACATGAAATCCATGTTCCTAGCAAGTCCGTTCTACTTTGAAGAACTCCCTTTCCTAACTCATGGTAACCTACCCGCATGGATTCTTGGAATTGCCCTACCCACAGGTTATCCCTGAAAATATATATCCCCTAGATTATATTATTAGGTGCTGCAAAACGTAATGTGCTACGTAGTCTAAGCAAAGAAATGGGGGCAAGGAATTCCCCACTCCTAACGCATACCCTGATACTGACTCCTTTTTTGGAGATCCAGATTTTTAAAAGGTATGTAGGCCTTGCTTTCATCAGTCTGACTAGTTTAGAAGCTTGACTCAAATTTCAAATGCCAGCTGGGATTTTAAGTGCTGAAACACCTCAAAACTTTCTGAAAGTCTGAGCTTTAGCTTTTCTGTGGCTCAATTCTGCTTATGTGAAATGGGGAAAGGATAAACAACTCAGTAAAACGAGGTTCTGTAGGAGGATGAATGAACTCTCTCTTCATTAAGTGTTCATTACAGAAGGTAGAGTAAACAATAATGGTTTCATAACTGAATTAAGTCACACATCTCTGCAAAGCAGGGCAATTTACTTACAAATGCACATTTAAGTATTGCACAAAAGCATCAGACGTGATAACTTGCATTTTAGCTACTGTCTGAATCCGTTTTTGTTGCTGCAAACAATTTCACACTTACCTAGGTGTTTCTTTGGCTCAAGGAAAGGCCTGCATCAAAACAAAAAGAAATCCATAATCTGAAGGCAGTAATCAATTTATTTTGTAGCATAAGTAAAGAGGCAGCATTTGTTTAAACAAAGCAGACTGTGTGCATTTAATAACAGAATTCAAGGTAGCCCTGGAAAAATATCAACTGGCTCTTCCAATTTAAATGGATGGGGGATAGAAGGGGGAGAAGGTAACCTTTTGATGATAAATGAAATCCCCGATTTATTTTCCAAAATCCATTTCAGTGTTGAAACATCATAATTTGCTGGATGTTTAAACGCGAGTCCTTCTGGAAGGCCCTGCACTACAACTGCAGACTGGTCCCTTTGAATCTTGTCGTATGGCACAGGGACTACTGTGGACTTTCCTAAAGCTTTACCTGGAGAAGAAAATAAGTTGTTGGGAGATCTGAAATACATAAGAGTTAATACAACACAAGCTAGCCTTTATATTTTCCCCTTCTTTGTTCCAAGCCATAACCCAATGCCCCTGACCTAGGTTTCTCCCAGCTGTATGCTCCCCACCACGTATCTGGTATTCCTATCTTCAGTTCTTTCCACTTGGAAACATAATTCTAGGCCTCCTTAGCCAAGAAGAGGAAAGCCTTAATACATCTGCCTTAATGCATCTTCCTCTGGAAAGGAATATGAGAACACACTTTCCCTGTAAGACTCCCAAGCCTTAATGTCCAGGGTGAAAGCAAGAAGAGAAAAAAAGGCTATAACCCAGGCCCAGAAACTTAAGCACAGTTTTCTTATTTGACAAAGAAAGATGTGAAATAAACAAGAGCAAATATTCTCTGAAGCCAACAACTAAAATTAAATTAAACTTGTGACCTCAACCATATGCTAGGCTGAATGCTAGGACTATCTATCCTACTACAGAAGTCCCAGGAAGAGTTATTTCAACTTTAATACAGTGGTTACCATAGCAAAAGCAAAAGAAATCCTCCACAGATTTTTTGAGAGCTTCCAATTCAACAGCATCCACTGTCAGCCGATTTAAAGGTGATGTTGTCTTTCTTTTCTGCAGTTCTGCAGCTTTTTCTTCTTCAGTAACACCTGTAAATTATTATTAATCAGCATCAGAACAGAAAAAACAATACTAATTCCCTTAAACTTCTGGGACAGCTTTGGAGCCACTGCTGTCAAAGGAATAACTGCCTTACAGGCAAACATGCTGATCTACAGAAGTTACAGATAAACACCACTACTGTTGTATTCTATTTATGAAGGTCATTAATATCATCCCTATGCAAAATGATGATGAACTAGAAGAACCATCCAAGAACGTACTTTATGCATGAAAAAGTAGGAAACACTGCAATAATCTTAAGAGAAACAGTTTAACAGAAAGGTATCAAGAAAGATGGAGGCAGTCGCAGAATAAGTTAAAATGCCTATGTTTAAGGAGTCTGCCAACTCTCAAATTGTATTTCTGATGTCTTATTCAGCAGTTACATTATACTCTGTTCTGTTTACATTGTATATGCTTAACTGATTCTTTTTGATAGCAACAATATGATCTCCCAGTACAACTGCTTGTACATAGCAAAGTTCTTTCATCTTCGCAATAGACATTTTTAAGCAGATGTCTCCTTTTGCTGAATGAGAGTGCTGTCAAGCCATTACTAGGCGCAGCTGATAATAAGATCTAAGCTCTTTTCCTTCTTCTATTCCAGTGTAAGCTTTTGTACTTCTTCTGTTCTCTGAACAAAATCTCACACATGCAGAGTGAGGAATACCATCTCTCTGTCATAAAAATGGTGGATGAAAACTTCATTTCAGACAGTCAGCTTAACTTCCCATCATCTGCATCTTCCAGAGGCTTACTAATATATTCCTAGACTCTGATATAAAAGAAGAGCCAAAAAATGCATATCTGTATGTGTATACAAAGAGGAGATATGCTGGAGCTGCCCTTACCAAACATAAAATAGCAGTTAAGTGAGAGGTCTGAAAATTTTAAATTTGTACTGAAAAATATTATCAAGTTACTACTAGAAAGTATATACAAAACCAGCTAACTCATCACGAGCAGAATATTTGGGGGGGAGC